TCCAATGGTGACCTGTGCGGATCCAGAGATTCTTAGCACCCTCTGCTGCGTTACAGATCTGACCGCCGCCGTGGTCAGTTGCTTCGCAGCTGCTGGAGACTGAGGGCCGTGAGTTATTTGACGTATGCATGTGGGAGGTACAAAATACATCGGGTTAATTGGCATGGAAGTAAGCAGTGCTCGCACCAATGTCGTGTTTGTAGCAGACGCAGGAGTGATGCTAGCTCAAACAGTGAAACGTGTTGCAAAGAATGCTTTTAATGAGACAGCGGGATTCCTACCATTTCACTACGGGAATAACTCGAAGTAGCACAGTTTCACTTTTAAGCACAATGGTTACAAAATTAAAATCGTGCCGATAGCTTCCAAAAGGGATCAATAAGCGATACTGTAGGTGAGAGCCTCTGACTGCACACTTTTGTGAGCAAGACATGATGAAAAAGCACTTGTGGAACAATTATGTTTTGCTAAACTACCTGTAAGGCCTGGAGTAATTATTATGTGATGCATCGTGAAGTAATGAGTTTTTAACTTAGTGCAAAATGGGTAACATGCGGCCAGAAACAATACAAAAACACCATAGTTCCACTCTTTCAGAAGCTGCATGCCTATTATGACAGCCCGGACGTTTTTGCACAAATTTAACTGCGTATGCTACTTGATGAAGTTGCTTTCGCATCCTGCATCTTTCATTTATGTACAGTAGGTAGACATTGTGCATTCGCATGAGCAAGGCATTTTAATGTTTCGCTAAAACAGCGAAAATCTCTCGATCATAGAAACACGAAACATGCTTTCTGTGCTTCCCGACTAGTTTGTGTAAGTTTTGCATTTGCATTGGGTAGCATCTGCTGGGATGGCAGGCCCGGAACATTTTTTTGTCGCACTTGCAATACATGGCATGACACGTGATGCAATTCATTGAATTCTGTATGTTCTGGTCTGTAGATGTGGGAATTATTCCCTTCAGTTCGCCATACGGACTAAGTTCTAAACGAGTTAAATGCAGGTCACCACCAGTGGCTGTACACCAATTTCACAAAAAAAAAAGGGTGCCATTTTTAAAGCAATTCATCGCCACCGTGCCGTCCAGCTTCTGTGATGTTTTGGGGTCATGCCGGCGTGTCGGGTTCTGCGGCAGTGTATGCAGCAGATGCACTCAGTTCATCAAGTACTGCTGCACTTTGCATGCACAGGCTGAATACAGCAATGTTTGGCGAGTGTAAGGGCACTCTAAGTAACTTCTAAGTTGTCACCTTCAATATAACTAAAATAACAAGCAGCAGCAGCAAACAAGACATTGCCACACCTTCGCTGATGATTGGCATAGGAGGCGAGTTGAATTCTAATGTAGTCTTCGAGGAGCACGTGTCAATTGGTAGTTGCTCTTTGTGTTTTGTTATAGTAGCTGGCCCTGTTATGCCCTGGGAATACGTGCTCGCGTTTACATTTAGGAGACGAGCGAATATGTACACCATTGAATTCGCTGTTATTTGATTTGTTGTACAGACTTTGCTCCCATAGAGGGCAACACCACAAGCAATTATACTTCCGAAGTATTCACATAAAAGCGGTTGAGGCTGAGCTGAAGCAAGCTAAAGGAGAGAGATTGCGCTGATGACACATTGAGCCCTTTCTTGGAGCTTGGTCACCATGCATCTTGGTCACCGCCCTTTCTTGGTCACCATGCATCTGGGAGATAAGTCCGCAATCTTATGAATCGACTCATTGAGACTCGGATCGAACCATAAGCCTGAGTGATTCCGGGTCAGTATGAAAAGTTTGAGTGAGTCTAGTTGATAAAAATTTTAGTGATTCTGAGTCTGAGTGATCGTGAAATATATATTTCATAGGTGAGCCTGAACCAGTTCCACATTGTTTTGCCGACCTCTTGTACCATCTAATTGATTTCAGAGTTACCATAAGATTTACCTCAGCTCATGCTAATCATGTCTAGCCACACATCGATGCAGTAGTGTTTATACACCAGCTTGATAGTATACGAATAGATTCGTGAGTTAAGAGGGGGAGGTGGCTTGACCCTTCCCCACTTTTTATCAAAGGAAGGTTTTGTTAAAAACATCTAGTGCAAATCATCGCTTTTAATAAAAATGTCCTCAGTGGATTACAACCACTGATAACTTGCATTTTAAGATACAAGATCAAAAGCACAAAGTAGAGCACAAATTATGCTAGATATCGGTGTTAAATAGCACTAACTCCTTGGACGAAACGGCTAATGGTACGCGGATGGACAAGTGAGTTGACTCACTCAGACGGAGCGGAGAGTGAGTCTGAGTGAGTCAGGGTGAGTTTTTGTAAGTGATTTTGGGCGCAATTGAGAAAAATTTGAGTGGGTGTTAGTCCAGTTAAAAAAGTTGTTGAGTGTGAGTGTAAGTGTGAGTCTAAGTCTAGGGGCAAGGTATGTTTCATGAGTGAGCTCTAACTTTTGTGCCAACCTATGGTCTGGGATGACCTCTGCAACGTCTTATTGTCACCATTACTACTAAGATCGGCTCCATCAAGCAATCTGCCTGGAGCTTCTTGGTGCAATAATGTGGTAGTTGTGGCTGGCCTCACCTTTTCCTGGAACTGAAACAGCTATGTTCTTCCCCTTTGGGGCATTGTGTTTAGACTTCGTGTGAACAATAGATTCCCTAGCAATTGCCCAAAATACATTTCAACTGATCTTTCGCCTGCTAGAAAAGGTAAAACAGCTGTGTTTTTTATCTCCCAACACTTCGCCGGACACGTTTCTCACTGCTGCCTCGAGGGCTCCTGGCCGAGAGGTGAGTTCTTACAGTGCCCCATGAGGCCATTCAGCAAAGCTTGACAGTCGTCCCACCGAGTACGTTCAATAATGCAGTGACGATTAATAAACCTTAGAGGGGCACTCTTGGATGCGAGAGTGATGACAGAAGCCCATATTGACGTAATCATGCTCCCGAGTGTAGGAGAAAGACTTCATTGTAATCCAGAATGTGGGACATTCAAAGGAGAAAAAAATAGGAGAGAGAGAAAAAAAAGTACAGTGCATCGATAGAAGAAGCATTCCAATGCTTTGTTTCAGGATGTGTTGTATGCCCTCATGAGCTTCGAAGTACATAGTCAGTACCCTTTCTTGGACAGAACACAAAATCGTGATGAAATAGAGTGACTAGATGTCTCGATTTAGGCGGGACATATCCCACTTCTGAGGCTGTCCTCCCGATGTGCCGCCAACTACTTTTGCGGGGGCATTCTGTCCTTTTTTCAGCCGAAGGCCGGCTCGCAAACCTTCAAGCAATACAATACCCTACATGGCTATGATCTTTCATTCCTTTAATTTTTCTTTCTCCCTATCTTTTCTCATTCTCTCGCCCATTGCAATGTGGTTTCCATAAACACTTGTTCAGGTACCGTGCCTGAATAGCATAATGATTACGTTGCTTTTTACAGCGAAAGCTGTTATAAAACCACAACTCTGCTCATGCCCAGTTGTCCATAGCCAGATCGTGCTCTGGTCATGCCCAGTTGTCCATAACCAGATCGAAATTAGAAAAAAAAAAACTAGCACCAATGACACTGGGGCTTGAACCCGAGTCCACTGGGTGCCAGCCTAGTATTCTACCACAGAGCTACACCAGTGCTTGTGACTAGTTGGCAAACTTGCCTTAGGCAAGCTTGATGTCGAGAAAACAATCGCATTAATTCAACTAATAAAGCGTTTTAAAACAGCCGAAGAACAACCAGTCAGCGCACAATGCAAATAGCCGTCCAATGCTCTAACCTCTTACAAAAGCTTGTTTTTGTTCCCCTATTTACTGTGGCGCATACCCACTTCAGCCATAATTCATCATCGTTGTCAGCCACTGCACGAACAAATGGCACAAAATTCTTTGCAAGTGTTAAGCGGATACCATGCTTCTCAGAAGAATCACGAAAAATAGCGTAGCGAATGCGGATCTTTCACCCCAAAAATTTTATTATTAATGCTCTAGTGGGCACCAAGCAAATGTGCTTGCAGTAGTTACCCAATGAGTGTTTTGAAAGGCTCTGAAAGGCCGCTCTTCTAGCTTTCGCTGTGACTGTGCTGCGCCTTCCACGCAGGCCTGGCTTTTTTTTTTTTTCAGAGTGTGGTTATCAGAGTTTGCAGTTTTATTGGGCTTTATGTGATTTTTCTTTTCCCCTGGTCATTGAAACGAAAGCTAGCCATACAAAAAGGCAATTCTTAAAATCTAGGCATACCCAAATGCCACGTCGAAATATTGAAGGGACACTAAACAGAAACACTGATTTCGTTTAGATTGATAAACTGCCCTCTGAGAACTCTAATGCCACAAATTTCACTATTATTAGTTTTTTATTAGCAGATGAAAAGAAGGTTGAAGTTTGATCTTTAAATTTTGCACTGAAGTCTTTTCACATGACGTAACAAACTTCAAAATGTATTTTTCGTATTTTGACAATATTGGCTCGATGAAATTTTCTGGAACTTCGTATTTCAGGTCTATGCCACCAACAGATGACAATGTAAATTAGAAGCTATGTACGACCGAGTAGACGCGTTTCAAATTTATGACGTCAAGGCGTTTGGTGCGGAAATACAAGATGGCGTCTGCACTCACATTTCCTTTTTGTGCGTTTTCTTGCTTAGCAAGCATTGTCTTGTGTTGAAAGTGCTGTTTTCGAGATTGCAAAATTGTACTTTACTAATATGCGAAAAATCATTTTGCCCTTCAGTGTCCCTTTGCCACTCAACTGGGACACTGGCAAGCGTGTATGTACATGGTCTTCGGAACCAATCGAGAAAACAGCGCAGCAATAAACATGACGGCAGAGAGAGGGACATCTTCTGAGAATTGTCGCTAGTTTCGAAGCCAGCCACAGGGTTGACCTCTGGAGAAGAGGCCGAATTGGTCTTGAAACGTGGGGACAGTTTTTCATATAAAAAACTATACACTAATTGTGGCTGGAAAGTCTGTTTATCCATTCATAAGTTTGTGCCACGTATAAGGTTCTGTAAAATGCTAGCAGAAAATAAGAACAACTTAGCAAGGCACACAAAGGTCATTCTGTTTGTACACTATGTCCTCTTTACAAGAATAAATTACACAGTAAATTGCTATCCGCAGAGTTATCTGTTAGCTGATGCCAAAGATCTTGCCATGGAGGTAGTCTTGCTTGGCACTTGATTCGGCCAACTTCATTGAGTTCCACTCGTAGAATGGCACCTGTCGAAAGCAAGTAGCATTCATTGTGTAAAAAACAGCAGCAGCAGCAGCATCCAAGTACACCACATGATATTTCTAAACCTCACAAAAAAAAAAGGCAAATACTAATCTTGTGCAAATATTAGAATAATTCAATTATTTGAACAATTATTACAGTATTCGAATTTGCTAAAAATCAAATAATAATTCTCCAAAGCGCCCTTTCGAAGACTACTGACATGCAGACGATGCACTCATAATAGAACATTTGGAAATGTGCCTAACTGATTTTACCGACACTAATGTCAACTCACTTTGGTCGTTTGAAAGATGTGTCATTACTGTATACATACGTTTGCACCGACCAAATAAAAGTTACTAGGCAGACACCATGGATGACGCGTGAGATAATCCACCTGAAGCGAAAAACAAAGAGATTAAAAAACACACCGCATACCTATTGGTAACCTGAAGGAACTAAAAGAAAACCTTGCGCCGTGCACGTGGTACCTTCTTCGAAAGATGACTATTTTAGGACAGCGCTACTAAACTTTATTTCTTCTGAGAAGATCCTAAAAAGTTTTGGAATTATATAAGCAAAAAAAAAAAGAAGCCAGTGTCTCGAATTTCTATTAATGGTTCAACTGTTACTGATCCTGGTGGCATTGCATGCCATTTGAATGAGTACTTCCAGAGCATTTTTTCTAAGTCTGGTATTTGTCCAGCAAGAGACACAACATTTCATCCCTCCGATGTCAGTTTTATTTCTTACCCAGGCGTGGTTTCTATGCTATTAAACTTAAAGACTAAATCTTCATGTGGTTCTGACAACCTTCCTAACGTGTTCCTGAAGCAATATGCCGAGTCTATTGCAAAGTTTCTTGATATAATTTAGCGCGATTCTTTACTTTGTGGTAAATTACCAGATGATTGTAGGGTAGCCAGTGTATTGCCAAATACAAGAAAGGTGATTGATCTTTATTAAAAAAATTATCTATCGATATCACATACATCACTCTGTTGTAAACTTATCGAGCACATTATTGCAAATCCAATAAATTAATTTTTAGATGAACATTCAGCCCTCTCTAATTATCAAAATAAGTTTATAAAAAGCTACTTAATAGTTACACAATTTGATACAGCTATCCATTCACTTGCTTCATGTTTGGATACAAATGGTCAAATTGATGCAATATTTCTAGACTTTAGCAAAGCGTTTGATGGTCCCACATGACAAACTAATCTTAAAACTCAGAAACACTGAACTTCCAAAAATTTTGATCACATGGATTAGGAGCTATTTGACTAATTGATCCCAGTGTGTGGAAGTTAACGAGTGGCGGTCTGGATATATCCGGTTGGCTCCGGAGTCCCTCAAGGGGGTGTATTAGGACAATTGCTGTTTCTGCTGTACATTATTGATATCGTTACTGTCATTGATCCTGGCATTCAAACAAGATTGCTTGCAGGTGACTGCGTGTTGTTCCATGAAATCACCTCACCTAAAAAATCGGCACCACATTAACTCTGCTCTTGCTAACATTTCCGAATAGTGTAACACATGGGACATGAAACTTAATGTTGATAAGACAGTCTCTATCTTCGTTTCTCTCGCCGAAAAGCTCCCCTTACCTTTGTATACAAGCTAGACTCATTATCATTGCATGAGGGTCATTCCACGCCAAACGTCCCAGGCATTTTGGCGACCATGTCAAATGTAATAAAAAAAAAATCATGCTGATTTACTGCATTGAGGACAGTAAATTGCCAAAATATTTCGGACAGAAAAAATTTTTTGGTCACATTGGTACTTTCTGAACTTCCTAGAATGTCGTCTGGGTGTTGATTGGGAAAACATTTATTTTAAAAGTACCACTTTCTCTTTCTGTACCAAATTTAGTGTGCATGTCAAGTAAAGGTGATTGTGTAAGGTGTTTGAAGCTTAGTAATATTAATGCAATTTTTCTGCCTCATGTGCCTCCAAGAACTAAGCCAAAATGTGTTATGTGTGCAATTTCTTTGTTGCAATACTACATTTTGTATGAATATCTGAACAATTAATTCTTACTCAACAATGTACTTTGCAGAAAAAATAAATTTTGAACGCTCAAATTGTCGATATTTATGAGAAAAAAATCACAAATTCCATAAAATCGGCATTTCTGTCCATAGTGAGACGCGATCGGCACCATGTGATGGTCCATTTAAAAATCACCTTCAGACCTAACTCGAAAGCAAATGAACAGTTATTTTTATGTGGCAAATTTTATCAGTACATTTTTTGTTTGAAGCAAAAAAATAATTTTTGAAATTTCCCGTTGATGTTGATCTTTCCATTTGGTTATACCACAGCTTTCGCCTTGAAGTTCCCTATTGCTATCATTGGGAAACTTGGCACATAAAAGGAACTGTTTATTTGCTTTTGATTTAGGCTTAAAAGTGATTTTTAACTGGACCACAACGTGGTGCCAATCGCGTCTCGATATGGACAAAAATGACGGTTTTGTGAAATTTGTGATTTTTTCCCGTAAATTTCGACAACTTGAGCGGTCAAAATGTATTTTTTCTACAAAGTATACCTTCTGTGGAATAAGTATTCATTGTTCAGATATTCATACAAGGTGCAGTATTGCAACAGAAAAAATACAAACATCACATAACATTTCGGTTGAATTCTTGGAGGCACATGAGACAGAAAAATTGCATTATTATTACTGAGCTTCAAACACCTTACACAATCACCTTTACTTGACAAGCACACTAAATTTTGTACATAAAGAAAGAGTGGTACATTTAAAATAAATTTTTTCCCAATCAACACCCAGACAACATTCTAGGAAGTTCGGAAAGCGCTGACGTGACCAAAATTTTTTTTGTGTCCAAAATATTCTAGCAATTCACTCTACTCAATGCAGTAAATCAGCACCATTTTTTTCAAATCAATTTGAGATGGTCGCCAGAACGGCTGGAACGTTTGGCATGGAATGACCCATGAGGACATGGTATACAAGTACTTAGGTGTCACTCTTACTAATACCTTATCATGGAATACACATATAGATAATATTTATTCTTTCGTATACTGCAAATTATACTTTCTAAGACATAGGCTCGAATAGACTCCTCCAGCTGTAAAATTACTTGCTTAGAACACACTAATTAGGCCGAAACTTGAATATGCATGTGTTGTTAAGACCTCTTTACTAAAAGCAACATTACTCGCCTAGAAAATGTGCAAAAAAAGGCTGTCAGGTTTATTTATTCAAATATTCTTCCATGTGACTCACCCACTGAACTAATGCAGGCTAACAACATTCCATGCCTTGCAATAATACGGAAAGCTGCACGTTTAGAATTTCTTTACCACCATTGGAATTGGAAACCAGCAATTAACCCCTAACCCTATCTTTCATCTTCAACATCAAGACTTACTCGCCACCGTCATCTTAATTCTTAGACACCTCATTTTACGAGAACAGATTTATTCAAATTTTCTTTTTTTCCACCCATTGCAACAGACTGGAATAATTCTTTGTAGCTTTTAATAACATTGGAATTGTTGCAAATTGTTTTAGCTATATTTATTTTTTTCTATTGTTACTGCTTTTTTTTTTAACTCACCCTATTTGGACCTGTAAAGGTCAGCAGTATTGAATAAAGAAAAGAAAGAGAAGATAATTGCTGTAAATTTTGAAGTATTAAAAATGAACCAATAGATGTGAAAAGAATGTCCAAATGCTTGGTGAGTTCATGATTAACTTAGTGCCGAGTGCTGCGAATTAGCGACATACCAAAAAACTTCGAGCTAGCAAGCACAAAATGCGGGCCACCTTTGATGCCGGCTGTCACATACTCACGGGGAACGTAGCTTTGAAAAGCCTAGCACACTCTCAAGCAAAGCATTCTATGCTAGAACCATTTGTATTGTAGCTGATGGACGACACTGCGAAGAACATCTAACAGCCTTCACATCTTCTTTCTTTCTCACATGCAGGGGTGTAACAGCCGAAATAAAATGTGGAGCAATTTTCAGAGCAGCAATATCTTCCTTTTGGAGCACTAAAATGCAAATTTGCAGCAGGTTACAAGAAATAAAACATCAATTTTTTATCAAAGACCAAATTTGGAGCAGGATAAAAAGAAGGCTTACATTTAGAAAAAGAAAAGTATGTGCAAACAATTCAACATAACCTAAATTGAGCAGAGTAATTTGATTTGATTGATATGTGGGGTTTAACGTCCCAAAACCACCATATAATTATGAGAGACGCCATAGTGGAGGGCTCCGGAAATTTCGACCACCTGGGGTTTTTTAACATGCACCCAAATCTGAACACACAGGCCTACAACATTTCCGCCTCCACTGGAAATGCAGCCGCCGTAGCCGGGATTCGATCCCGCCACCTGCGGGTCAGCAGCCGAGTACCTTAGCCACTAGACCACCGCAGCGGGGCAAATTGTGCAGAGTAAACATGAGCACTGCTATTTCAATAAAACTAGTATTTTACGAGCCACCCCACTGGGCAAACGATGATGATGTCCGCATTAGCATTTCCTGCGTCTGTCAAATCCTTTGACAGAATTCGTGAATTCAAATGTAGATCTGCCAAGCCGGCGACCTTGAAAATCAATGAGTTGGTGAAACTGAAGAGCAGGGGTTCGGTGAAAAAATGGCATAGCACTTACCAGAACCAGCTGGTAACCAAGGATCTCGAGGTGCCTTATCTTAAGTTGCTGATAGCCTGTTATCTGGGGATAGTTCTCACAGAAGCTTTTCTCTCCCAGGACAAGAATTGCGATCCTGCATCACCACAAGTACGCTGCCAATTAGTACACTGATGACTGTGAGCTAGTCTTGAGGCACTTCATCACTAGAAGGAAGAAAGGCCGCATATTACGGCAAACACTAGTTGTAGTGAAACAACTATGTATTACTTTTTTCACAACACCACTTTAACGCATAACTGCCAACCTAGGAACCTCGAAATTAGGAGGATTTACAGAGCAAAAAGCGTGATAAGGCGGGCGTGCTATAAAAGAGAACTGCAGTACACTTTTCTTTTCTCACAGCTGCAGTAATGTCCTAGGCAGCTAAGAATGATTGCCACTAAAATTTTAGACGTCAGCAATCCCACTTGTTAATACAAAGAGCACGCACACGTGTGTAATTAAAATAAAAGATATCCCATGCGCCGTAACAGCTAGTAGCCTCATTTCAATATGAGAACGCATTTTCACAAGAGAAGAGTGTACCGAGAAGAAAGTGAGTAAGGGAAGATGCTACGCGAAAAAAAAAAGTTTGTTCAATCTTTAGCTTATGGAAATATTATTCTTTCTGTATAAACAGGCTTTTATGCTCATTTCAAACATGTAATCAGTTTTATAGTAAGTTGCACAGTTTTCATTTTGTTCCATAATAATGTGTAAAATACAAATCTTTTTAAACACCCTTTTCTTGCCACTAAACTTTTATGGGTCCATACAGTTAATGACTAATATTGCTCATCATTAACTGTAGAATGCAAATAACAAAAAAGAAAGTGTGTATAAGACATCTTAAAGGGCAAAAAAATATTGTAATGTGAGAAGTCCTACAATGTGCTGACCATACTAATTGCTTATTTTACGCTCATAATAATTATATCGGTCATATCAAGTTTAAAAGAGACTCTGGAACAGTTCTTTGACGTTTTGTCAACATTTAGGCTAGAGCATCATCAAATCATTCGCACCACAAATTTAGTGACATGCCGTGTACCAAAGCCCTTACGGTATCATACCCTTCTCCCTCACTTCTGCCTTTCCTCCTCAACTCATGAGACACGCTGGTGATCGCAGAGCTCTCATGAGCTCGCACAACGATTTGAGCTTCGCCCCGTCTAGACCTCCATGATTACTTGTACGCTGACAGGTTGCATGGCATCTCGGAGGCCATCACACAGGGCGCCTGGCAGCACGCATGCCTTCTGGCAACAGAGACGAAGATCGTGGAGTGGTTCATATCTGTTCCAACAGGTGCCGCCAACCTAGCAGCCGATCTTACTTCCGCACTTTCATTCCATGACAGCCAATCAGGCCAGCAGCCACAGTGACGTCAAATGGCCAGAGCGTGTCGCTCTTGAAAAAGGCGGTTGAAAACCTGTTTGGCTAGGTTGCAGTGATTTATAATGATCTGCATCGATTCGCAGCTTTAAAGCATTGTAATAAATTACACTGTTTATGCAAAGAGCTCAAATCGGTCTCTAAATGACCCTTAACACATGATTTACTTGCCCAATGTGTTTGTAGAAAATCGCCAAGACCATTTCACGGTCCCTTTAAAGGAGATATTTTCATTCTTTACATGTTAAGAAATACAAGGGTGAAATTTCATCATGGTCTGCTATCAGAAGTGCCAAAAACAAGATGTCCAAACTCAAATAATTGTGCAACATTGTATATTGAAAAAAAAAAAACGCATTTCAAAGATATAAGTTTAAGAGGAGATGCTACTCGAAGATGCTTTTTTTTAATATTCACCCTAGAGCAATGAAACTTCAGCTGTTTATAGAACTTTTTATGCTGATTTCAAATATATAACTAGTTTTCTTGCAAGCTGCTTACATTTAGCTCTGCAAAATGACAAAGTGAAAACCTTAACCCTTCTGTTCCTCCCCCCCCTCTTTTCATCTCTGAAGTTCGGTAATTTTTTACCATTCATAGTTCATAATGTTTCAAACAAAGTGTAGAATACAAATAAATAATTAGAAAGCACATATAAAATATATAATAGGCATGAAAAATATTAGACATAAAAAGTCCTTATTTGACCTATCCTAGTTAAGGTTTACATACATTTTTTATTATAAAATAAAATATTGAAATTTAAACTACGTAATTGTATATGTCATACTTCGGAAAAAATTTGGGCAAAATTTCAGACAGATGCGAGCACTAGAAGTGCCCGAAAAAGGAGGGGCACATTGAAAAAAATGGCAACATTTGTGTTTTGAGAAAAATGAGTTTTAAAGTTAAAATTGAGTTTTTATTTATGAAATATCTCTATAAATGTGATGAAATTTGCACATCAGAAAGAACAATCTTTGTTGTAGTGGCCACTGCCACTGGAATATGCTAGCACCATGAGTTTGTCTTTCTCAGCTTTTTTGAGACGACTCCTCACAGACATTTCGCTCACAGACAGTGTGTCACAGGTCCCGTTAATTCGGGAGGCGATCACCGGGCTAATTCCAAGGGCCGAAGTATAGGCCCCCCCCCCCCGAACTGCACCACGAAAGCGTGGACAATTTAGAAGAGGTCCTTTTTGGCGCGCCAGCGGACGCCGGCTGTGGCCCAAAAAACAAGGCAGAGACTAGAGTTGATAACAAAACAAAATTATATTCTCAATAATGGCACACCAAAACAATACACAAGTATGCACACTCCACAATAGTTGAGTACAATATGTCACCAATCAAACAACGTACTACACAGTACAATCAGCCACACTCGAAACAACGGACACAGACAACAATATGCACTACAATGCAGTCGCATGCATTGAACAACCAAGACACTTAAAGACTAAAGAGATAGAAAACCTATTCAGTCCAAAGTTCTTGGAACAAAAGTCTGGATGATACTCTTTTGAGAATCACTCACTCAAAGTCCAGCGTTGTTGTCGTTCCGCTGCCCCCGAAGTTTCTCTTCCAGGAAACCTCTGTCGTTCCGATGCCCCCGAAGTTTCTCTTCCAGGAAACCTCTGTCGTTCTGCTGCCTCGAAGTTTCTCTTCCAGGAAACCACACGTCTTCACTTGGCCGCTCTCCAAGCTTCAAACTTCTTCGCCGTAAACATGCCGGCTTCACACACGCAGCTGTTGCCATGCGTCTTCGCTCGATAGCGATAGACACACGCTCTTGCCTGTAGCTCGAGCCTTCACCCCTCAGGTGGAAATCCTCTTCTTCTCCTGCTTTGTCACTACGGACAAAACCTTCGCCGACTACACGGCGGAATCCCTACGCGCTCTGGCGCTAACTTCCATCTTCTCCTGATCTCTCATCTCGGCTGCTCGATTAAATACCTTCTGCGCGAGATTCCAGAAAGTTCTCATCATTTCGTCGGCGCGATACGTAGCGAAGGCTGGGGAGAGGGCGAGACGGTTCGAAGGCTGTTCGCGACGGATGACGCAACCCGGCATCACCCCGCCCCTTTCCATCTAGAAAATTCCAGTGCTTGCTCGGCCTCCGACGTGAGGAGGTTTTGTCGGCGAACCTATGCTTCCGAGGAAGAGAGTCGCGCGCCTGGGGAGTCTTTGGATGTTTGTTTTCTTTTTTTTATCGTTCACCTCGCGGCGTCACTCCGGCGTTTTGCCGCGAGAAGTTGGCGGCGCCCCCTTTTTGAGCGCTCGTTTTGTGACACAGTGCCATAAAACGCTTGTCAAACTTCTTCCGTTCCTTTTGGAAGAGCTTTGTGCCGACTGCAAGCTAGGAAAAAGTTCGACAGGACTGCGAAATCTAAACTAAGTCCAGTGCCGGTGCCATTTTGCGGCCATGTTTGTGCCACATACCATCGTACATAATGTCAACGTCATCCCCGCTAAGCTTCTTCACTGTGAGCTCCTTCGACCTCGCAAGATTGGCACTGACATCATCCATTGCCGCATCACGAACTTTCTGGCTGATGGCTGTGAATTACATTTAATGCATTGGCTTTTGCAAGCCAAGAACTGCCGCAAATTGAACCAGCTGCGCGAGGGCGTGGTGCCACAACGGCTTTCAGCGTGAGCAATGGCTTTTTTCATTCACAACGGAGGTAAATACACGATAAAAGCATTATTCAGCTGCGCTGCTCGACAAGACATGGACCCCGCAAGTAGGCTTCACAGCACATACAGGCGCGCAGCGGTCAATGGCGATCTCCGATCCGTACTACGTGATAAGCCAGTCGTGGCACTCGAAAAACGCGCAAAAGCATGCTTCTTTTTATTGTTTCTTGCACCGCACCAGCGAGGGAAACTGTCGTTATTTGAAGAGTGAGGCTCGACTTTTTGCCTCATGCAATCGACAATGGCGAGTGGCGGCGCATTATCGGCGGCAAGGTGCTCGAAGACTGGACATTTTGGACCTTTCAACAGGCACCCTGTGCTCTTTACATGCAATTTTAAACCATTCCCAGTTAAGTCTCGACATGTATTTTTTTTTCTTTTCAGAACAGTAGAGGTACTAATCTTATCAAAACAGGCGAAAATAAAAAATAGTTAATTTTGAAGAAAACTCGCGTTTTTCGACCCGCTTCTCCCCTTAACCTGACCATGCAGCAAAGATATGTTTTTTAAAACGATTTCTTCCACGAGAGCTTGGGAATCATGGTTTTTTTGAGCATATGGGTTTAGTGAACAGCTCATGCGAAATGCAATGGCTTTACGCAGCTGGGTGACAATTTTCAAGAGACTCAAGACAATAAGCTTACTTTAGCTTTAGTAGTCACCTTGTGTCGTTTGAAAGCTATTTTAACCTACTTTGAGCTTATTACAATCTTCAATTTTTCTTCCGTTGTGAAAGTAAAGAAACTAAATTTGTGAAAGCAAGTAAGAACAAAAATATGTAACTTTGGAAACAGCTTGCGTTTCTCGACTCGCATCTCGTCTTAAAGAGCATTATGCAAGCAATTAAAGCAAGGATGTTTTTTTGAATAGCTGTCCTTTGTTATTAAGGCGAAAGCCTTAAATGGCAATGTTGCCGCACATGTGCAAGACTTCACCCACTTCACCAAACAAGTCCAGCAAATGTGAGCAAAATAGCTGTGGGGGAAAGCAAACTGCC